CCTGGGGGATAGTGCAAAATGTATGGTGTGCGAAGGGAATGGGGCGGTTTCTGTTTCATGGGATTTTCTGAGGACGCATACTGGGTAACCTTTGGGGTCGTTTTGATTGCTTCGAACGGCGTCGGGAGGCCATGGTGGGTGTATTGGAACGATGTTTGGGCGGTTCGCCGCCCTCTTGGACGTCTGGGGGGCGTTGTCGAGCTCTCTGGGGCGGTCGTGGGTACTTTTTGAAGGCTTCTTGCGCCGTCTTGGGGTGGTTTTGGGGTGTCTCTGGCATTCATGGGGGGGTGGGGGGTCCCAAGAACAGAGGCTCCATGGGGTGGGAGTGCCGGGGCGTGGTGGGGGGCGCGGTGGGGGGTATCGGTCGGTTTTGGGTAAGAAATGGTGGGGTGGAGGGTCCCAAGAACAGAGGCTCCATGGGGTGAGAGTGCCGGGGCGTGGCGGGGGGCGCGGTGGGGCGTATCGGTAGGTTTTGGGCGAGAAATTGTGGGGGTCGGGGGTCCCAAGAACAGAGGCTCCATGGGGTGGGAGTGCCGGGGCGTGGTGGGAGACGCGGTGGGGGGTGTCGGTGGGTTTTGGGCGAGAAATGGTGGGGTGAGGGGTCCCAAGAACAGAGGCTCCATGGGGTGGGAGTGTCGGGGCGTGGTGGGGGGCGCGGTGGGGAGTATCGGTTGGTTTTGGGCGAGAAATGGTGGGGTGGGGGGTCCCAAGAACAGAGGCTCCATGGGGTGGGAGTGCCGGGGCGTGGTGGGGGCGCGTAGGGATTATCGGTCGGTGTTGGGCGAAAATGGTGGGGTGGGGGGTCCCAAGAACAAAGGCGCCATGGGGTGGGAGTGCCGGGGCGTGGTGGGAGGCGCGGTGGGGGGTATCGGTCGGTTTTGGGCGAGAAATGGTGGGGTGGGGGGTCCCGGTCGGTTTTGGGCGAGAAATGGTGGGGTGAGGGGTCCCAAGAACAGAGGTTCCATGGGGTGGGAGTGCCGGCGCGTGGTAGGGGGCGCGGTGGGGGGTATCGGTCGGTTTTGGGCGAGAAATGGTGGGGTGGGGGGTCCCAAGAACAGAGGCTCCATGGGGTGGGAGTGCCGGGGCGTGGTGGAGGGCGCGGTGGAAGGTATCGGTCGGTTTTGGGCGAGAAATGATCCCAAGAACAGAGGCTCTATGGGGCAGGAGTGCCGGGGCGTGGTGGGGGGCGCGGTGGGGGGTATGTCGGGGGCGCGGTGGGGGGTATCGGTCGGTTTGGGGCGAGAAATGGTGGGGTGGGGGGTCCCAAGAACAGAGGCTCCATGGGGTGGGAGTGCCGGGGCGTGGTGGGGGGCGCGGTGGGGGGTATCGGTCGGTTTTGGGCGAGAAATGGTGGGGTGGGGGGTCCCACAGAGGCTCCATGGGGTGGGAGTGCCGGGGCGTGGTGGGGGGCGCAGTGGGGAGTATCGGTCGGTTTTGGGTGAGAAATGGTGGGGTGGGGGGTCCCAAGAACAGAGGCTCCATGGGGTGGGAGTGCCGGAGCGTGGTGGGGGCGCGTAGGGATTATCGGTCGGTGTTGGGCGAAAATGGTGGGGTGGGGGGTCCCAAGAACAAAGGCGCCATGGGGTGGGAGTGCCGGGGCGTGGTGGGGGGCGCGGTGGGGGGTATCGGTCGGTTTTGAACAAGGGGATGTGGTCATGGACCAGGACGAGTATATTAAACAACTACGTCCTATCACACATCCTGAGCTTACGGGAGCAGCGGCAGACGCCAAGGCTACCAAGCTCATCACCGACATGTTCGGTAGCCTGCGAGGAGCTCTCGCCTATGCCCTTCTTGTTCAAATCTGGCCCATGGTGTACGTGGTATCTCTCCAGAAGATCCAAGAGTCCACCAAATTACAAGTCAGGCGACTGAATGCTGTGACGCGAAAGCTGATCAGCAGCCCGAAACGCATCACCTTCCCTCGGATGAAACCGACGAATGAAGTGGACATACATAGTGATTCGGGGTATCGGGAACCCACCGGGGAGGAGGGCGATGAAACCAAGGGCTACGGCATTCGTGGGGCTAACGTATTACGGCGAGGAAACTCGCCCCAAGGCGAATCCGTCGTTCACCTTTGCGACGGACTATGCGAGTCACACCGACTGCTGGTGAGGTCCAGCTATGCCGCTGAGGCACTTGCAGCTGCACATAATCTTGATGAGTGCTACCCCACGCTCATCACTCTCCACGAGCTCAAGGCCAGAGCACTTACCCCGCGACAACTGCGAGATATGCGTGAAGTCGGAGGCCTAGCTATCAACGTATGTCTGCATACACATCGTTATCCAGCAAAGACCTTAAGATGCCAACGGAACGCACTTTGCTGGGACATATCAGCTGGATACGTGAGCTCATGGATATAGGTATAGTGCATAACGTACAGTGGTGTGACACTAGAGACATGACCGCAGACGGGCGTACAAAGGGGAGTATCGATCGGGAGCTGCTTTTGGAAGTGATGTCAGGCACTCAGTCATTTAAGTATGACGTGAAGCAGTTTGTTCCCTGTCGGGGCCCCGAGGACAAAACCAAACCTAAGTCGAATCAATTTTAGTCTGTCCTTGTTGCCCCTGCGGTCCAGTTTGCCAGCACGGGCGCCTAATACGGAGGCGCCCTCTTTCCTGCTCGGAAACGAGCCATACTTTTCACGCTTGGCAACGAGCCTGTTCAGGTTGGTTCAGGCTCTTTGCCTTAATACCCTTTTGCCCGGAGGGGAATTGCCTGTTTGGCTAACCTCTAGCTGGGCCGACAACCCTTGTATATCCGAGGGGCTATCCTGTGCGTGCGTGGGAAAGTTTTGCGAGGAAACTCGCCGGCGAATAATCTCGCCCTTCAGTCTGGTGGTTGGCCAGACTGCGCATGCAGTTTTCCTTGCAAGCGGAGTTGCGCGCCTGTCGAGAGCCTAGCGACCGCGCGGCTTTACTCTCCGTCTCCTCCCCTCCCGACTTTACGGGTAGCTCTTTGGGATATGTTGTAGATAATCGGGAGTATAGCCTGCGCGTCGCTGTCTTATGGCGCAAGGCACGCGCGCCCTATTTGCCCGGATACCTGACTTGGTATTCGCTACGTGCTGGAAAGATCATTACATCGATTTTATCCAATCTTACTCATCCACACCCCATATCGTATTCCTTCGGCATGGAATTGGATGCAATATGACCTACCAGAGTCATTTCAGGCTTCGTCGTCGTCCTCCCTCTTCGTCCTCCTCCTTCTCGGGGGGTGGCGCTCCCGATCCCTTCGCTGTGGCCACGGGCGTCCCGCCCGGCTAGGATCCGTTGCCAGAGCTCTTCGGCGAATCCGCCAGGCGCCGGGAGGCCCACGGCGCCGCTGCCTGCATCGCGTGGTTCGCGTCGAAGAAGGCCGTCCCGATAGCGTCGTCCTCCTCCTTCTCGGGGGGTGGCGCTCCCGATCATTTCGCTGTGGCCACGGGCGGTTCGCCCGGCGCGGATCCGTTGCCAGAGCTTTTCCGAAACCGCCCGGCGCCAGGAGGCTCGGGGCGCCGCTGCCTGCATCGCGCGGCTCGCGTCGAAAAAGGGCGTGAGTAGCAGCAGCATGCGCAGTGCCGTGTGTTCTGCTCGAGGGAGGTGTAAAAGGAGTCGGCTGAACAGGTTGTTGAGCAGGGTGTGGATCGCGAGGCACTGGGCGAGGCAGCGCAGGCCGTCGTGCACGGCGCTCTGGAGGACCAGCACTAGCGAGAAGCCGATCAGCGGCCGCTCGAAGTTCGAGACGAGTGCGGGCGTTGTCGCACACAGCCAGCGGAGCAGGGGGCGCTGGCGCCGCCAGCGCCTGCGTAGGCCAATCGCGCGGAGCCCGCGCGGCAGAGGGTGCTTTAGTTTAGTTGGCACGGGTTGGAGTCGTGAGCCAGATGGTGGCGGAGGTATGCGTGAGGCCATGTGCGCACGTAGACTGTCGCAATCATGATGCACGCGACGGCATGCAGGAACATCAGTATAATCACCCATGGGACATGTGGTCCGTGCGCAGCGGCAGAAATTATGGGCGTGTAGTGCTCGGTCGCGAGTGCAGCGCCCTTCTGCCGTGATCGTGCAAGATGTCGTGCGGCATGGTCGGTGTTCCCGAAAACGGTACCACGTACCAGGCACATGCTGTCGATGGTGATGATGTTGATGATCGTAGACGTACCGTGTCCAGGATAAGATGCAGCGTGGGTTTTTGATGGGCGACCCAAGAACGAAGCATATCGAAGCGCCGTCCGCATCCTTCGACGGAGCACTTCGGGGGCAGAGTATCGTACTGTCGGCTTCGGTGTCGGAGTCGCCAGGAGGGGGCGGGCATGGGCACGGAATGGGAAAGTCTGGTGTCAGGTGGTGGAGCCCAGGTCTTGACGAAATGAGCTCGGCGTCGGAAGCCCACATGAATTGCTCGAAAAGCCTCTCGGGTTTCGACGTGGTTGAAAAGTTGATGACTGCTTGGAGGTTGCGAGATTTCTCGAAGAGTGTCGGCGATGGAACAACTGAGAAGGCAACGAATCTCTTCAGCCAGAAGTTGAGCCCATGGGTGAATGTCCTGATCCGTATCAATGCTGCCGTCGGGTTTGAGTGTAGGGGAGGTGGTTTGATGCTGATGCTGATGCTGATGATGATGATGATGATGGTGGTGGTGGTGATGATGATGATGCTGATGATGATGCTGATGATGATGATGATGATGATGATGATGATGATGATGATGATGATGATGATGATGATGATGATGATGATAATGACGATGATGCTGTTGATGATAAGATGCTGATGCTGCTGATGATGATGCTGCTGATGATGATGGTGGTGATGATGCTGATGAGGATGATAGGCAGGACAAGGATGACGAGGACGACGAGGAGGGTCACGAGGAGGAGGCGGCGGAGGAGGAGGAGGAGGAGGAGGAGGAGGAAGGACAAGGAGGAGGACGAGGAAAGGATGGATCGATGGATGGATGGAGGTCGGCGAGGGCGACAACGAGGACGGCGAGGACGACGAGCAGCCGAGGTGGGGATCTTCGGCTGCGATGCACATTCCGTGTTCCATGGCATGGAGGCGCCGCCGCGCGCGCGCGCGCCCGCGCCGCAGCGAGGCGGAGCAGGGGGAGGAGCAGGAGGAGGAGGAGGAGGAGGAATTGTTGTTGTTGTTGGTGGTGGTGGTGGAGGTGGTGGTGGTGGTGTTGGTGTTGTTTGTTGTTGTTGCTGCTGTTGCTGCTGTTGCTGTTGCTGTTGCTGTTGCTGTGGCTGTTGCGATTGTTTTTGTTTTTGTTTTTGTTTTTGTAGTTGTTTTTGTTTTTGTTTTTTTGACAGGGAACTCTGTTTTTTGACAGGGAACATCTTTCTGCTCAAACTGGGCCCCTGGCCCCCTGGATTACAACAATAACGGCTCCTGCCTGAGATTTTCTCCAAATTTACTCATGACCCCCGCTCCTGAGACTTCTTCACAATTTACTCAGGATCGGTGCTCCCGCCTGTGACTTCCTCGCAATTTAGTCAGGACCCCCGCTCCCATCTGAGACTTCCCCACAATTTACTCAGGAACGGCGCTCCCGCTTGAGACTTCCTCGCAATTGAATCAAGACTTCCTCGCAATTTAATCAAGACCCCCGCTCCCGCCAGAGAACCTTTACATTTTATTCAGGAATTGCGCTCTCGCTTGTGACTTCCATGCAATTTATTCAGAAATCGCGCGTTCGACGCTCAGGAAATACGCTACGCCAAGGACGCCGTTACAATTTATTTAGTAATCGCGCTCTCGCCATACTCAGGCATCCCGCTTGAATGTCCCACCCGCACGACCCTCCCGTCAGGGGATCGCCCGCCCGTCGTGGGCTCCAGCCCGAGACTTCCTTTAGGAACGGCGCTTTCGCCTAGGACTTCCTCGGACGTTCACGCTTTTACCTTCCTGCTCCTCCTGCCTCTCCCTCCTCCCTCCTCCCTCCTCTCCTCCCTTCTCTCTCCCTCCTCTTTTCCCTCATCCTTATGCCTCTCTGCCCTATCCCCTCTCCCTCCTCTCCCTCCTCCCTTTTCCCTCCCCTCTCCTGCCTCCTCCCTCCTTCTTTCTTTCTCTCTCCCCCGTCTCTCCCTCTCTCTCTCTCTTTCTACCTCTCTCATCTGTTTTTTTTTGTACCTCTCCCTCTTTCTCTCTCTCTGCCTCGAATCAACCGCCCCCCCTCCTTCGCTCCTCCTCTCCTGGCGTTTTCCCTCTTCCTTCGTCCCTCCCCCTCCCTTCCTCCCACTCTCCCTCGTTCTTCCTTCCTTCCGTCGTCCCTCTTCCTTCCCTTCCCTCTTCCTTCCTTCCTTCCTTCCTTCCTTCCTTCCTTCCTCCCCCTCCCTTCCTCCCTTCCTTCCTTCGTCCCTTCCCCTCTTTTTTTTTGCAGGCCCACACCAATTCCAATAGCGGCACCTGCACGCCCACGACGGCCCGTCCGCCCGTTCAGGCTTGCCCGCCTGTCTAAGCCCGCCGCCCCCCCGCAAAGAGAAAGAATCCCCCCCAAAGGGGGCGTGATCGAAGACAAGAAGGGCGAGTATCGAAGGATTGCAAAAAAACCCTAGGATTGCAAAAAAACGAAGGATTGCAAAAAAAGGATTGCAAAAAAAACCCTAGGTTTTTTTGCAATCCTGGGTTTTTTTGCAATCCTGGGTTTTTTTTTGCAATCCTTCGTATCGAGGGTGTGGGGAAGTCGCTTTGAATGACACGCGGACGAGTAAGAGCGAACAGTCTTATATGGATTGTTGTCCTTGTACTTGTTGAATAGGAGCGGGCGCCGGGCCCCGGCGCCCCCCCCCCCACCAACAACAACAGCAACAACAATCATTTTCAGCCTGTTCGCCCTTATCCGCTCGAGTGTCCAATAACGCGTATTTCCGAAACCCTCGATACCCGCCCTGTTCGTCTTCGATCGAACCCTTTTGGGGGGTATACCTTTCTTCCCTGCAGGCCAGGCCCCGGCAAGCGGCGGGGCGGCCGCGGACCGTCGGCCTGGCCAGCGGCAGCGCTGATCGGCGGGGCGGCCGCGGACCGTCGACCCGACCCCGAGAGGGACGGACAGGGGAGCGACGACGACGACGACGACGTCGATGACGACGGCGACGACGACGACGGCGACGACGAGCGAAAGCGAGAGCGAGAGAGAACGACAGCAGGGCCACGAAGGACACGAAGTAGGCCACGAAGGGCGACAGCGGGGACACGAAGGGAATGCGTATGGGGCCACGAACAGCGCGAACGAGCGGGGGCCACGAAGGGCAGATAATGCGGGGCCACAGAAGGCAACGATGGGGCCATTGAGGTAGCAACTGGGCCACGTAGGACAGTGAGGGGGCCACGAACGGCGACAGCGGGGCCACAAAGGGCATGCACATGGGGCCACAACGGGCGCGACTACTGGGTGCCTGGGTGTCGGGAGCGCGCCGCTTGAGCAAATGACAGGATGACCGCGGCAAGGCCAGTGGCGGCGTCGATATTGATAGCGCCCGCCGACAAGGATGAACACGTCCTAGCGTCGGCGACGAAGGTTTTTGAGGGAGTTCGACATGCGCGCGCGGCCGACGCGCGCGCGATCGGCCCGCGCGGAATTATTTGACGCGGATCTTGCTCCCCCCAAGCACGCGCGCAAGGGCGTTGGAGTGAGTTCGACATGCGGCGCGAGAGGCCCGCTCGGCAGACAGTGGCGACACGTTGGAAAAGTTATGTTTTCGAACAGTCCGCAAGAGCGCGAGCGCAGGATTACCTTGTTTGTTATTTCCTGGGCTGCTCGATTTTGAAACCCTTGCAAATCCGTCGGTGTCCCGGGGATTTCGCCGCGCGCGCGACGACGCGCGCGCGCTTCGCCCTGCTTTTTTGCGCGGGTGTCTCGCGACGGCGGGATCGCGGGGGCGCTCGAGCGATCTCGGCGCGCGCGCGAGAAGCAATCGGAAGCGTGCTATGAACATGCTGAGAACGCGGTGGTTTTCTTGTGATTTCGCAGGAGCGCTTTTTTTTTTTTTTTTTTTTTTTTCAAAAAGGGGGGGGGTGCGTGCTCGCGCGTGCGCATGTGTGTGCGTGTGTGTGTGTGTGTGTGTGCGTGTGCGTGTGCGTGTGCGTGTGTGTGTGTGTGTGTGTGTGTGTGTGTGTGTGTGTGTGTGTGTGTGTGTGTGTGTGTGTGTCTGCGTGTGTGTGTGTGCGTGTGTGGTGTGAGTGCGTGTGTGCGTGTGCGTGTATGTGTGCGTGCGTGCGTGCGTGCGCGCGTGTATGCGTGTGTGCGCGCGTGCGCGCGCGCGTGTGTGCGCGTGTGCGTGTGTGCGAGAACTCTCGTTGCAAAGCCAGTTTTTTTTGGGGGGGGGCTCGATTTCGACGTCGATGCGACGCCGACGGTTTTCTTCAAGGATTTCGGCGCGCGCGCGACGACGCGCTCGCGTGCAGTTTGCCGTGATTTCTGTCCTCGAAGGATTTTTGAAAACTGCTGCTTGCTTTTGTGATCGAGTGCGCTCGCGTGGATTCTGTTGCAAAGGATTACGGGGCGGGGGGTCGACGCTGGCCTCGCCGAATTTTTGCGCGGTGTGCTCTCGACGGCGCGCGCGCTAGGGCGTTCGAACGATTGCGACGTGCGCGCGCGCGAAGCCCTTTTGGTAGTATGTCGCGACATTGTTAACAATGCACGATGGTTATTTGCAAGACTTCGCGAGAGCGCGCGCGCACGTTGCATTGGAATTTCCTGGTTGCGAAGCCGCGTGTTTCCAATGTTATTTCGGGCGCTCGTTTTAAAAAACTTTACGACGCCGAAGGTTTCTGGGGGATTTTGGCATTCGCGCGCGACGACGCGTGCGTTTGCGCTCCAGTGCATATTTTGCACGGTTCTTTTGATAGCCGACGACGTCCGATGAGTAGGGGCGCGCGCTTAGTATTTGCTGCAAAAGACGACGGTGGGGCGCGAGGCCGGCCTGCCCAGTATGGTACGAGTTCGCGTTTAGGATGGATGATGGGGCAGAATCGCGCGTGCACGGCAATGCGAAAAGGGGGGCCGTCAATTCCGGGGTGGGTGGGCGAGGGGGGGGGCAGATCTTGGTGCTCTTTTAGAAAAGAAAATCTACGCGGATCAATATATGCTGCATTATCAATGTTGCGCAATATGCATGGTTCAAGATCTGGGGCGCAACTCGCGCGGGGCAGTTGAGGCGGCGCAGTTGGCGCGGCACGCGCTGCGGTGCGAATGCGCGCGGTGCAATCTATCCGGCGCAGTTGGCGTTTATAAGCGAGTTGACGCATTCCACGCTCGTGCAAACATGCCGCCCCGCCCGCGACTTTGTCTGCAGAAACCATGCGGCGGCGATTGCGATGGGCGCTCGGCGCTGGTTGGTGCGTCTCTGCGGCCGCGCTGGCCCGCGCGCGCTCGCGCGCGCAGCGGCCGGCTAGTTTGGTGCGACCGACGCGGCCGCGGTGGCGCTGGCCGTCAGGCGCTTCCCAGCCTGCACTTCAGTGCGAGTCGGTGACTTTGGCGGGCGCAGTATCGTGACGACGCTAACGGTGGTCGACGCGATCGCGAGAAATGCAATGGCGACGAGGGCGGCGATGACGACGGCAAGGCCACATGGCGGCGCCGATGCTGATGACGCCCGCTGGTAACGATGGCGATGTCCTCGCGTCGGTTATGAAGGCTTTCGAAAGAGATCGACACGCGCGCGCGGCCGGCGCGCGCGACTGGGCCGCGCTGTATTTTTCCGCGCGGGCCGCGCCCCCCCACCCATGCGCCCCCGCAAGGACGTTCGAATGAGTTCGGCGCGCGGCGCGAGGGGCCCGTTTGGCCGAATGTGATGCAAACTTTTGAAAACTTATGTTTTTCTCATGAATTTCCGGAGCGTGGGCGCAGGTTCTCTCGCGGGCTGGCGCTGCAAAGGCCTGCGATCCGTGCGGCGCCGAAGGTTTCCCAAGGACTCTGGCACGCCCGCGAGACGACGCGCACGCGCACGTCGCCTCGCGTCTTGCAATCTAGTCTCGCGGCAACACGCGCTCGAACGAGTTCGACGCGCGCGCGAGAGGCCAAGCGGGGCACATGTTATGAATAAATATGTGGGGAAGCCGACGGTTTGCTTAAGAAGCCGAAAGAGCGCGGGCGCATTTGTTCATTCCAAGAACGGTAGCAACTGATTTGTGTTTTATGATTTCGGGGCACTCGATCTGGACATCCTTTCGAAACTGAAGTTTTTTTTCCCCCAATAATTCCGACTTGCGCGCGCGACGCGGCGTGCGTGCGCGTTCTGCAAGGGTATTATTATTATTATTAGTGTTTGTTTTTTGTTCCGATTGCACGTTTTTTTGCTCTCCCTTCCTCCCCCTTCTTGTTTATTAATTTGTTTTGTGATTTGTGCTTACGTACATATATACACATACATACATATGTATGTATATATGTAAGTACGTATGTATGTATATATACATATATATATATATGTATACATATATATATATATGTTTGTGCTTGGACGTGTATCGTCTAGCAACCGCTGGCGTGTGTGGCCGTTTCCTGTCACAGAGGCTCGCCTGGAGGCCGCGCCGGCGCGGATGGCCGGGGCGCTGCCCTTCGCGCTCGGCGTGGTGGGAGACCTGGTGCACCAAGCGGGCCTGGCGGCGGTGCTCTGGGCAGGGCCCCCTCCGCCATGCCCGCAGTGCCCGGCGTGCCCTGGCTGCCCTCCCTGCCCAGGCGCGCCTGACCCTGGGCCGGACTGGCGCTTCCAGCCCGAGGCCTCTGCAGCGGGCTGGGGCTGGCCGGCGCTGGCGGCAGCGGCGGGGCTTGGAGGCGTGGCCGGAGCCCTGCTGCGCCGCCGCTCAGCAGCAGCCGCGTGCTCGGCCGAGAGCCCCAAGGGCGAGGATGGCGGGACTCCCACTGGAGTGGGGGTACGCGTTGTTCAACGACCCCGCGGCGCCTCCGCCCCTGCTCTGGCACCAGCGCCTCTGCCACGGGCTGGTGGCGTCATTGGGGGCTGAGGAGGTGGTGATCACGTCGCCCGGCGGAGACACCTACGTGGAGGACTACAGGGCGGCGACTGGCGACGTGATCGCCTTCCGCAGGGCAGCTGGCCGCTGGCCGCCCCCCGCCGGGCTCCCGCGCGGGCAGTGCTACCGCTTCCGCGCGGAGCCGACGCCGGCGCAGCTGGTGCGGTGGCGGGGCGAGGCGGAGGCTGCTGCGCGGGCCTACCAGGCGGCGCAGGCGGCGGCCCGCGGGCTCGCGGTGCTGGCGCCCGGCGCCCCGGCGCTGCTGCCGATGCCGCCCGCCGGCGATGCCGGAGCCGCGGCAGCTGGTGGGGCTGCGGCTGGGGCTCTGGTGGCGGCGGCCCTGCCGCCGGCGGCGGCGGCGCCAGCGGCTGGAGGGGCCGCGGGAGGCGCGGGCGCGCTGGTGGCGGCTGCAGGTGCGGCGGCGGTGACCCACCACTTGGTCAGCGTGGAGACGCGTGCTGGGCTGTCACGCGGCGACGCGGTCGCGCTGAACGGCAGTGAGATCGTCCTGGGCGAGCGTGCGCTGATGGGGCATCCCGTCGGCGGAGGCATCTGGATTTGCTTGGCCCTGGTGTCGGTGACTGGCACGGACGAGTACAAGGGGAGGGAGGCCGCCGCGGGCGCGAGGCTGCTGGAGGTGCCCAGCTCAGCGGGCGGCCGCCGCAGGCGGCTCTGGCGTGACGGCGTAGAGATGCTGAAGGCGGAGACCTTCCCCGACTTCCCCGTGCCAGGCCCGCGCGCGATGAAGTGGGCGGCCGAGTTCCTTAACGAGAAGACGGGGCCACGTGAACATCACAGGTGGTGGGTGAGCGTCTCACGGCTCTACAATGACATGTGGGGCGTGCAGGAGCACGAGCTCATCATGCAGGTGCTGGAGCTGCTGGTGACCTACGACGGAGTGGATGTCACCAACCTCGCGGGGGCCGAGCTGCTGATTCGCAAGGCTCAGATGATTGAGTACTCGTACTCGGAGGCAGGTCCAGCTGGCCTCGGAGTCACCGACGGGAACCAGGGCGGCGGCAACGCCAAGAAGAACAAGGGCCGCGGGAAGGGCGGCCGCTCCGCGGGGGTCCACGATGAAACGTCGATCTTCATGGGGGCGCACAAGGAGTTCGGGGACCTGCTTCTGGACCCGCAGCTCCTCGACTACGTGGCGAAGGAGGTGGAGAGGGACGCCCAGGTCATGAAGCAGGTGCGAGAGGCGCGCGAGGAGAGAGTCCTCGCGCGCAAGGCCGATGCCTGAGGACCTCCCGCGGCGGTCTGCCCCCTGGGCCGCCGTGGAGGGGAGGAGGGGGGCAGCGTCTGGCGTGGGCTGGGGCGCTGACAGTTGTGGAGGACAGCCCACTGATGATTGGCGGGTGCCGCGTGATGGTCGGCAGCGCGACTTGCTGCCGCTCCCTCGACTTCGTGAGGGGGCCGCTGATGCACTGAGTTTTGTTTCGCATGCTGGAGCCCGACCTTGTCGAGCAGTGAGGCGACGTGCAGAACGGCGGGGTCACGACGATTACTGGGCGAACTGCATGATCGACACGCTGAACGAGATGGCGGGCGGTCCTGTGCCACCGGGCGCTGGGCCAGAGGTTCCCTCGGCGGGCCAGGCGCGCTGTCTTGGGCGCCTGCGCGCCGCTGCGCGGGCTGTGGGACCTCCTCCCGAGGGCATGAGCGGCGAGGGGGCCCTGAGTGAGCTCCTCGCCAAGCGAGGGTGCGGCGGGGAGCCCGCCACCCTCGCGCCCCTCGTGCTTGACCTCCTCTCCGTGCCTCCGGAGGGCCACAGGCCGCGCGGCCTTGAGGAGGTTGCTGGAGATGTTGGCGTGCGCATCGCCGAGGGGTTGAAGAGCAAGATCCTGCCCTAAGAGGAGGCAGGGAGGAAGCGTGAGGAGTGTGGTGTGAATCGTTGTTACAGCGATCCTCTGCTGCGAGACCGACGATACTACGCGCGCCTGGTGAGGCACCTCGCCAGCAGGGGACTCATTGAGTTCAAGCGGACCTGCACCGAGCAGGTCGGCATCTTCTCGGTATGGAAGAAGAGTGGCAAGGTTCGGCTCATCATAGATTGCCGACTGTCCAACACGCACTTCGACGAGCCCGAGGACGTGAACCTGGCCACGGGCGCGACCATGGGCTCCATCGAGGTGGACTCGGCCGCGCCGGTGGCGCTGGGACAGGTGGACATCGCGGACGCCTTCTATGCGCAGGCGCTGCCGTCGGATCTGACCCGCTTCTTCGGCCTGAAGTCTCTGACGGCTGGGGAGGCGGGGATCTCGCACTGCAGCGGACAGCCTGTCGGCGTCAACGATGTGGTGGTGCCGTGCTTCGCGGCGGTGCCGATGGGCTGGTCGCTGGCGCTGGGCGTGTGCCAGAGCGTGCACGAGGAGATCGTGCGACGGGTGCCGGGGCTGCCCGACTCGCAGCGGATGGCCGACGGCCGACCGCCGCCGCCGCTCGTGCCGGTCAGCCACACGCAGTACGTGGACAACTTTGCGGCGTTCTCGCAGGACTTTGCGAAGGCGGAGGCTGCCGCGATCGCCGTGGACGCGGGCATGAAGGCGGTGGGGCTGCCGACGCATGGCGTGGAGGCCAGCGTGGGCGGCGTTTGCCTGGGCTGGCACTTTGACGAGGAGGAGGCGATCGTCGCGCTCAACCCTGTCAGAGTCTGTGAGACTTGGAGTTCAAGAGTTGCTTCGACGACCTCTTGTCTACGGTTGGCAGGTCGAGGTCGTGGTGGGGCACTTCACTTTTGCTGCCTTGATGCGGAGGGAGATGATGTCCTGCTTCGGGGCTGCGCATGGCCTCATCCACGCTCATCGTGACGATCGCGCGGCCCTCTGGCCTGCAGCGCGCCGGGAGCTGTGGTGGGCTGTGAGCCTGCTACCGCTGGTGCGGCGCAACCTGGCTGCGGAGTGGGGCTCGACAGTGATGGCGTCGGATGCCTCGCCCTGGGGCCGCGGCGCGGTCGAGGGCGAGAGGGCCGAGGCGCTGGTTCGGCGAGCCGGGCGCGTGGATGAGAGGTGGCGCTTCAGCAAGCACGGCGAGCTCAGCGCGCAGGCTCGGCTCCATGCTCGCTGTCGTCCCGATGGAGAACACCTGACTGATATGATTCAGGAGTCGCAGCTCGGGGGGCCGTCGTCCGAGACTGACTTCGACGAGGTGCCCGCCGAGCTGAAGGGCCCCTGGCGCACGGTTAGCGCGGCCCGCTGGCGGCAGCGCGAACCCATGCCTATGCTTGAAACGCGGAGCGTCCTGTGGGCGCTGAAACATCAACTCCGTCGGCTCCACAATCATGATCGTCGCCTCCTCTTCATCGTCGATGCGATGTCGGTGGCACTGATGATGAGCAAAGGAAGGTCCTCCGTCAAGGGGATGAACCGCGTGTGCAGGCAGTGGGGGGCCAACTGTTTGGCGTCGGGAGTTTCAGCTTCAGTTCGATGGGTGATGTCAGATGATAATCCCGCTGACGAGCCCTCCCGTCTTTTTCAGCCTCCTGGGCCCGAGCTTCATCAGGCCTTCCTGGGGATCCGCCCTCCTGCGCCCAGTCGCGGCGATGCTGTCGCGGAGCCGCGCGGGGAGCCGCAGCACAGGCAGCCGAGCAGCAGCCGTGGCGGGCCTGCTGCCCCGTGCCGAGGCCGCGGCGGCGCCGGGCGCGAAGCGCAGGAGGCCCGCCAGCGCGCCGGCCAGGCGGCCGCAGGCGGAGGCGCCGCGGCGCGAGGATCGCGCTGCAGCGAGGCGCGGGCGGCTTGCGGAGGCTGCGGAGAGCTGGAGCCGCGGGCGGGCCTTCCTCGAGTCGAGGTCAGTGGCCGTGACACAGGAGAAGCTGTACGAGAAGATGATGACGGATTTCCTGGCGTGGGCCGCTGCTCACCGGCTGCCGCTGGAGACGCTGGCCGAGAAGGACGAGGCTCTGGTGATGAGGGGCGACGCGATGTATTTCGAGGGGGGCACGGCGGGGGACTTCAGCAAGCTGAGGGCCGCCGCGGCTTTCTACTGGCAGCTGGGGTGGGCCGGGGTGGAGCTGAAGAGGGCCACCCGGGCCCAGGTGGGGTTCAACAAGATGGCCCCTGCCGCGACGAGGTTGCCGATGCCGCTCGTCATCATGCACGCGATTTTGAATGCCATGATGTATCTGGGGAGCCCGTGGGAGATGTGCATGCGCGCTGCCCTGATGCACGCGCTGTACCTGAGGCCCGTGGACGTGATCAAGATGCGCCCGGAGGACCTGGTGGTGCCGCTCGCAGGCGCCGGCGCGGGGCACGCGCGCTGGAGCGTGGTGCCCCACCCCGCGGAGGGGATGCAGCCGTCGAAGGCGGGGCTGTACGACGAGGCGCTGGTGCTGGACAACTCGGAGTACTTTGACTTGGTGCCGGGGCTGCAGCTGCTGCGGCGGGGCGCGGGACCGCGCCTCTTCCCTTTCGAGTGCACGGAGCTGGCGAGGCACTTCGGCGCGGCGGTGAAGCTGCTCAACCTGGAGGTGATCGGCATCAACCACCTGTACCAGTGCCGCCACGGGGGCGCTTCGCACGAGATCGCCAGCGGCCAGAGGGACCTGCAGGGCGCGCTGCGTCGCGGGCGCTGGGTGAGCGTGAAGTCGCTCCGTCGCTACGAGAAGGGGGGCAGGCTCAACCAGGTGCTGGCGCGGCTCTCCAAGGTGGCGCTCGAGCACGCCAAGGCCTGCCGCGCCCGAGCTGGACAACTCCTCGCCAGGACCTGCTCAGCGCTGCCGCCCGTGCCCCACGGGGCCAGGTGGCCCTTGAGCTCTTCAGCGGCACGGGGCGCTGGGCGCAGGCCTGGCGACGCGAGGCGGGGCTCAAAGACGTGCCGGTCTTCGAGAGGGGCCTGATCCACGGAGAGGAGTACGACTTGACCCGCCCAGGCAACCAGAGGCTGATCAGGGGGTGGCTGCGCGGGGGCCTCATCTGCGCAGCGTGGATGGGCATGCTGTGCTCCTCCTGGTCCATGGCGCGGAGGGGCGGCACGACAGGACCGCCCCCGCTGCGCAGCAAGGATTGTATCATGGGGCTCCCTGATCTCTCGCCCCTTGATGCACGAAAGGTTGCCATAGGAAATCGTATCATGCGTTTTTGTGCCAGTGTGTTGCAGCTATGCATGCGTCTTCACATCCCAGTGGTACTTGAGAATCCGCACTTGTCTCGGGTGTGGTCGGCGCCTCCCATTGCACGTATTTTGGACCATGCCAATGCCAGACATATCGTCGTAGATTTCTGCCTCTACGGTGTTCCGCGGAGGAAGAGAACCAGGCTTCTCTCTTTGTGGGTCGATCTCTCCCCGCTTCGTGGTTTGTGCTCGTCGTCCAAAGGGATTTACACCCGCACGAATCGCCCACATGTTGAGTTGACAGGTAAATGTAGAACATCAGAGAATGAGCCTTTGCAGTTTATGACGAAGACAGCTGAACCATGCCCGAGACCTCTGTGTAGGGCCATCGTACAATGCTTTCGGCAGGCCCTCGCGTTTAAAGTTTGTCAGGGTTTCTCCCGATGGGTTTTGAATGCTGGATAATTTTTGATCGACGGCCCAAAGGGGCCAGTTGAACTCTTTGGGATTCGTTGTTTTGGGGCAGGATCGGCAAAGCCGCGATCGCTAGCGCAGGTTGCCTCTCGTTCGAGCTGCTGCGCTCGCCCGCTGCTCCCGACGCCGGCTCGCTCAGTCAGAAATCAAGATCGTCTGGCCCCAGCGGCGGGAGCGGGATGATGTTTGTGCTTGCACGTGTATCGTCTAGCAACCGCTAGCGTGTGTGGCCGTTTCCTGTCACAGGTTCGCCCCCCTCCCATCCCTCCCTGGCTCAGCCCTGTTTCCAGGGGCTGGATCGGCAAAGCCGCGATCGCTAGCGCAGGTTGCCTCTCGTTCGAGCTGCTGCGCTCGCCCGCTGCTCCCGACGCCGGCTCGCCCAGTCAGAAATCAAGATCGTCTGGCCCCAGCGGCGGGGGCGGGATGACATTTATATATATATATATACACATGCATATATATATATATATATATATATATACTTATACATATGAATGCGCGCGTAATTTTTCGCACATGATGTATATATACATATATATGCGTGCGTGTGTGTGTGTGTGTGTGTGTGTGTTTTTTTTTGGGGGGGGGCGGGTCCATGCCTGCTGGGCTGGGGTGGTGCGATTCCATTTCTAGTATTAGCGATTGGTCAGGATCATAGACTAATTCGCGTACGAAACTAACGACTGATAAATTTGGAGGGGATGGGGATCCAAACTGTTTTATTTTTGAAGCAAGGAGAATTCGCGCGGCGCTGTCCACGCGGCGCGCTCCTTTGCCGAATTTGCAAGTGACAACTTCACTGGGCGCGTAATCGTCCCACCCGCCCACCTGCCACTTGGTTTTCAAGACCCATGCGGCGGCGATTGCGATGACTGTTTGGCGCTTGCTGGCGCTTCGCTGCGACCGCGCTAGCGCGCGCAGGCTCGCGCTCAGAGCGGCCGGCTAGTGTGGCGCGACCGACGCGGCCGCGGCGGCGCTGACCGCCAGGCGCATCCCAGCGCGTCGCGCAGACC